ACCTTGACCTTTCAGGACTGTAGCAGCTACGACCTTGACCTTTCAGGACTGTAGCAGCTACGACCTTGACCTTTCAGAGGTCCTACAGCTACGACTTCTAGGACCTGCTAATCTACAACCCACAGGTCTACAGATCGAACCCCTACAACCTACAGACCTACGACAGCCTACCAACTGCTGCGAATACACAGGTCACGGGTTCAACTCTCGGGATCGACACAGATACTGTACACAGGTAAGGTGAGGACTAGGGATCGAGCCCTGGGATCTGCATCCGCTACTGCGAACAGGTGCAGAATACCGTTTCAGATTTCATAAGTCGGCGATACGCTGCACACGAACCGATTGGTGCGTCCACTGTCGTAGTCTTTTTCTCCTTCTCATCACGACATGTATGTTGCTGCTTCTCCTGTTCAAGGAGCTCCCCCACTTCAATCAAGTTGAATGTGAAATCCACAAGGGTAGACCGTAGACACATGTATTTCTAACTATTTTACTATTTTTGTATTTCCGTACATCAAGTGTATTGTTTTTAATGTTTTCGTTTTTTTTTTTTCCGCACAACGTCCCATGGCACTCGTTAGACTCCTATCCGATTGGTAGTGCGCACCCCGCCCCCCCACCTCGTACGCATGAGGGGCCCAACACCTGGGCTTCGGCCTTGGGGCATTTGCAAGGCTTGGGAGAAAGAAGAAAAAGAAAAGTACTCCGTCGCCCTGTGTGGTGATTTTCAGTGTGCGCTGTGCGGTTCTTCATGTCGAAATGATGAGCTTAGCACGCCTACGCTTGCTGCCGTCTTCACCCAGATAGAACTCCCCCCCTCATTATTATCGCTGTGTCTACTACTGTCTAGACAGAAAGTTGCCCCTGATAAAGCTATATTGACGGGGCATTCTCTTCGGGTGAAGGCGGTAGTCGGTCCTCTGGCCTCAGGACGATTGGAGAGTGCATGCGTTCAATTGCGCGTTGCGGTCATTTTTCTCCTTTGCCCCTATATTTTGAAGGTCAGAGGGCCTACCGTCTTCACCCGCATACAACGCCCAGTCATTATAGCTGTATTTGGCACAACTTTCATCCCAGATACGGCCATAATTACCGCGCGTTCTATTGGGGTGAAGACGGTAGCCATATAGGTACGCTGAGTGGCAAAGCAGTAGGCTGGTGCTGCTACGTGTTGATAGGACGTGTTGATAGGCAATACCCAGCACCAGCCTACTGCTTTGCCACTCAGCGTATGTGCCTGTCAACACTTGCTATCAACACTTCCTATCATCCCATATGGGTACCTGCCGTCCACATACATCCCACTGCAACAGCAAATGCGCACGCAAGGATGCAAAACTGGATGCAGAAGGGGATGCAGAAGGGGATGCGAAACGGGATGCGAATTTGATGCAAAACTGGATGCAAAAGTGGCTGTCATCGTCTGATGCATTTTCGATCAAGATGAGCAAAAAATTTTAGCTGCGATAATCAGAGGCGGATATTGTTTAAACCACCAGCATGACAAAAAAGCAAAGGATGGACCAGCGCAGCGCGGTTCAAGCATCAGAAATGACGTTGAAGGCGACGTGGCCAGGTTGCCGTCATAATCCAATGCAATGCATTTTCGATCGAGAGGAGCAAAAATGACAAAGCTTAGCTGGCAGAATCAGAGATGGCTATTGTTTAAACTTTAAACCAACAGTACGTTTGCCGACCACTTTTTTGTGTTTTTTCAGAGACACGTCGTGCATGCTGCTGCGGCCCTGGGGAAGCTACAGGCTGCCGTTTCGCTGGACATCTATCCAGGAGAAACGGCCCTTGCGTGCAGGGCGTTTCGCCTGCGCAGGTGTGCTGTGAGACGGCGCCCCGGTACTTCCCGAGAGTCGCGGCAGCATGCACGTCGCGCCTCTGAGAAAAAAATGATCGGGAAACGCGCCGCTTGCTTGTTGAAGCTTTTCGAGACGTGGGGTAGAAAACCAAAAACATTGGGGAAGAAAACCAAAGCATGGATGCCTGTTGTTGAAGCATTC